TTAGATAGAGGTTAGCAATAAGAGCTAGATGAGTAACATCCCTTTGATAAAGGGATTTATGACTGAGTTTTTAGAGGAAGTGTTTGGCCTACCTCATAAGAGGGAAGTTAAATTTTTTATTGATCTAATACTTCGGGTTGGACTAGTGTTAATAATGCCTTATAGGATGACTCCAAATAGAAGAGCTTATTAAGGAAACATTTCATACAATCGAGTGTGTCATTATGGGGAATGCTAATATTGTTTTTTTTTTAAATGATAAAGGATTAAGACTATGCGTAGATTACATACAATTGAATAAGATTATAAACCAGAGTAAGTATCCATTGTTAATGATTGATGATCTAATTAATCAATTGCTTGGAACAACAATATTCTCTAAGATACGAGATGAATATTATCAAATTTTGATGAAGGCAAAAAATATGATAACCTTCAAATTTAAATATGACCACAGTAAATATATAATAATGTTATTTGAAATCACGAATATTACAACCCTATTTGTAGACTACCTATAAAATTTTATTCAGGTAAGATATTCAATATCAGTAAAATTAGGAATTACTATGTGATATAAGAAAATATGTTCTAATCATAAATAATCTATGATATAAATATCAACTTAAAATATATCTATAAATAAAATTCAATGCATATATCTTCTAAAAATAAAATTAATTATACGAGATACAAGTATCACATGAGATACAAGAAGGTGAGGATGAGATATAATTGTACATTTCTTTTACATCATCTTATTATTCATACTTAATAAATATTTTATAATATTATCTTATTAATGGTTTATTTTAGATATTATTATCAATTATTATAATCATGTTATTATATAATAGTATATGATATTTTTAGTTATCGATTTTAATTTTAAATTATTAAAATAATGAAAAAATAATTTGATTTAATATATATATATATATATATATATATATATATATATATATATATATAAGATGAGATTTAGAAAGATTTAATAAACATTATTACTAGTATAATTGGACTAAGGTAACTAGTAGTGAGGATTTTACATATTATAATTTCCTTTAAAATAGTAAATCTCAGTTTGGTTTTTAACTTCAGAACATTGAGTACAGTAATTACAAAATAGTTTTTTTTGTTATTCTTTTATACATTCAACGATACCCAATTTAACCATAAATATGAATATATGATAGATAAATAAATTCTCACTGTAAAATTTAAGGTAGGGGCAAGACATGCAGTATATGTCCCTGTCTCTGCCAGCTGCCCTTTCTATTTGCAAGAGTACCTGAACGAGGAAGGTACTACAATCACTCTCATGCACACATCATTTCAGTTCCACAATCAGTTTCAACTCACACAAAATATTTGCTTCACCTTTTTCTCAAGGTTCTTTTTTATATGTTTTTAGATTAGATGTGATTTTATATTCTCTTAAATATTAGTATTTGAATTTAATTAATTTATATCATTTTAATTGATGTCCAAACTTTTAATAATTACAAATTTAGAGTCTGTAAATTTAAATTTCATTATATTAAGATCGACAAATATGACAACTTAATCTTGTTGGCAAATTTTGGGTCATGTATATATATGATACATATTTAAATGTGTTAGGGTCATTATTTATTAAGCCAAATAATAAAGTGATCTGAATAAATTAAAGTTTTGGTTAAAGGCATATGTCATAAAAATATGATTGTGTAAAGACCATAGAGTAATTTTTAATTTGATGAGGGGCCAAATTGAAAATACTAAAACTTAAGTAATTAACCTAATTTTGGTTATATAAAGGGTCATGATCCCCTTCGAGAGCACACGAGATAGAACAAAGTTACAGTCTCATTCTTTTCTTTCTATCCCCATCAAGAGAGAAAATCAATAGGGAAATACAGGTGCTCTTCAGGTACGCTTTCGCATTTAGTTTATAACATGTTTACAATATAGGATTATTGATATATGTTTAATTATTAGAATGAAGATCATGTTTAATTATCAGTTATCATAACAAATCTCACTTTCATGAGTAGAGAAAATAATATGATAAAAAAAAATCAATATGAACTATATATATATATATATATATATATATATATATATATATATATATATAATAGAAATACAAATTTATTGTTTCTACTTAGTCTTATGCAAGCCGTTGAACCGAATTAACTCCTAATTAAAAAAATACAGAATGTAAATATTATAATTATATATTTCAAAAAAATAAAATTAAAGTAATTAATAATATTAAGCCAGATAGGTTTTCATATTTGCAATCAAATATTTGTGAGTCATAGTCGATAACATCCAAGGATGCAGAATGCGAGGATTTTTTAATGATTATTTTTCTTTAAGTAAATTTTTCCATGTTACATATTCTTACTAGTAATATCTTTTAAGATCCATATTTATATAATTTTTTATTAGTATTATATTTTTTACCACTTTAAAAATTAATTTATTGTAATTCAATATTCATTTATTTTTAAGGCTCGATATATCATACATAAAATCCATATTTTAAATTTAAGATCTTCATCATGTCTCATAATCATATTTAAATAAAAAGTTTTTATAAAATTTGATTCATAAATTCATATATGTATAGAGACGATGCTCTTATATCGACTTAGTTTTATTTACCAGAATTTTAGGAGTACGCATAAAATTATGTTTGGTAGAGAAGAAAAAAATACAAACTAAAGGAGGAAATAAAGAAAAGAAAGATGTAATAAATCTAATGAAATAAAAGTTATTTAATTGAAATAAAGTAGGTGAGGAAGAGATTAAAGATAAATACTTTTAATTAAATATAAACAAAATAAAATATTAATTATTACAACAATTTATTATTAAAACTATAAAAAAATTATCACAAATAATAGTATTAATAATATTTCAATAAAAATAATATTTCACTAAAAATAATATTTCTTAATAAAGTAATAATATGTTAATAATATATTCAATTTAATATGTTAATAATGTTACATACATCTCATGCCTCTTAATTTTGAGGAAAATTATTAAAAAAACATTCATTGCAGCGTTTATTTGGATCCTTATGAACTGATATATATATTTATTTATTTAACGTTTTATGATTGTAGATTAGATGCATACTATTCCTAAAAAAGAGGGTGAAAAATGAGTTTCGCTTTATGTTAACTGATCTTCTCTTGTAAAATCTAAGCAAAAAAGAGAACCCATTTTGCCTTCACCAGTAGTTTTTTTTTTTTTTTTTTTTTTGAATTTTTGAATAAACTACATCAATCTGCATTTTACTTTACAATTTCTTATAGAAAAATATCATAATTTTACATCAATTTGCATTCTTAATTTTAAATCATTTATATATGTATACAAAATATTTCTTATAATTTCTGTATAATATTCGAAATTCCTCCTATTTTTTAAGTTACAAACACATTATGATTAAAACCTTTTACGATAACAAACGTTTAGAATATTCAATACTTAAAATAAAAACATTTAAAATAACATTAAAATATAAATAAAATAATATAAGAATAATTTCATATATTCAAAATAAAATTAGTCCTATTAAAATTGTTGCAATACAAAAAGTCAACAAAAACTTGATTACATTAAATATTACACAATTAAATTTCTGTAATATTATTATTTTATTTTTATTGATTACTTTTCAAAACCAAATTTTAATTAATCTTAGTAATATTTACATAATCAAACTTTGACTTTTCATACAATAAATTTAAAATAATTCTTTATTTCGAAAATACAAAGTTATAGCATATCTTTATATGTTTTTGTGATGTTATTTTGAAAATCTTATAATTTCAAAAATTAATATTTTAATTTTTTTACTATGACATAAAATTATAATTATAATTCATTTATTTAGTGGAAAAGAGATTATGTGTTAAAAAAAAAGTTAAGAATAGCCACAAACTAGATCGTCATTATAGACTGTAGATAGTACATTATAGGGTTAGATTTTTATATTCTATATATAAATATATGCATGCTATCTAATGCAAGGTTTTTAATTGCTATAAAAAAAGTTTGGTAGAGAAGGACGAAATTCACTATAGTAATATTGATGAATCATATTTTAATAATTATTTATATATTCAATTATTTAATAATTCTTTAATAGAAAATATGCTTAATCTATGTTTTGTTTAAGTAGTTTAGTTCATATCATTTATTGTAAATTCTTTTAATAAATTCAGATATTCAATTACTGTTAAAGTTGCTTAAGAGAAAAATTACATACTCTAAATAATGGTTATTAATAAGTAATTAATGTTTATGGTATTATAATTGTTTTTTATGATGAAATGTATCTTATCTTAAAAAAATATAAAATATAAATTTATTTTATTATATAAATGACTTATCACTACTTTTAATTTTTTAATAAATTTTAAATAATTTATTTTCTTTTTTATTATCTTTTCTTATTTATTTTATAAATTATTTAATAAAATAATTATAACAAAAAATTAAATAACTTATATGTCACATAAAATTTCTCTAATAGCAGATGTTTGAAGCAATTAATAGTTTAATTAATTATTTCATCAATAACATACTTATATATAAGATTTTGGGAAAGATTTTACTAAAAAAATTATAAAAATGACATGATTAAAAATTACTTTTATAATAGATTTTATTAAATATTATAATAGTTATTATCTTTGCCAAACGATCCCTTTTTTGTATACAAATGGATTTCAAATAAAGTAGAAGGTGTGTGTTTAAATAAGAAATAAGAAAAAGTAAAATCTGGAAATTTCAGCTGTTAATAATTGAAGTGAACCAAAGTAAAGCCCACTACCAGTGAAAATAACATTGTAGTTATAAATCTGTATATTTGTTAGTTACCACAAATAAAACTTTGAATTGGAAACAGAGTCCTTCTGTTATCACTGTGATTGAGCAGTGATCGAGTTTGCCAACTGCGATTCGCATCACCACCGATTAGCGAGCATTGGTCAGAGATGGAGACGTTACCGACGACGAAGCGCGGCGGTGGAGGGAGATCGAAGCCCGTTCCGACATCCAAATCCTCCCTCGTCATGGCCTTTTTCTCTTGCGTCGCCTGGCTTTACGTCGCTGGCAGGTACGTACGCGCTCACGTGCTTCATTCGTTCTTTCTCTCTCTCTTTTTTTTTTTTTTTTTTGGAATCGTTTCTCCTAATCGCTTTTGGATCCATCGAATTAATCTTGTTGCGAAGTTACGCTGCCGTTGATTTGTGATTCGCCGGGCGATTATGCTCTTTGGTTTGAACATAACGTATTTGCTCCATTTTTTGGGTCGTTTTGGATTTTGTTTATAAGCGGAAGATTTTATTAGTATGCCTCTTAATTAAGCACAAACTGTGCCTGATAGGTGTTTTGGAATTGTTAGGTTATGGCAAGACGCAGAGAACCGAAATTTACTTGCTAGTCTTCTAAAAAAGAATTCGGCTCAGGTTTTTTTTTTTTTTTTTAATTATGCCCTTTGTCTTAGATTATAATTCATCTCTAGTCTACAAACTTATTTTATGATATTTTTTCTGTGGTTACTAGAGGCCTAAGGTTCTTACAGTTGAAGATAAGTTGATGGTGCTAGGGTGCAGGTAAATTGTTCTTTCTATTTCTTTTCTTTTTTATCCTGGGTTGATATGTGTTTCCAATGATGTTTTGTTTGGGTGATATTGATGTGGATGGATCGTGGAATTGGAATTAATGTGTGTGTATTGCTGTTTTATAGGGATCTGGAGAGGAGGATTGTGGAAGCTGAGATGGAATTGACATTGGCTAAGAGCCAAGGGTACCTGAAGGGGCAGGGCCAGAAAAATGGCTCTTCTGATCGTAGGCTTCTTGCTGTTATTGGAGTATATACTGGATTTGGAAGTCGGTTGAAGAGAAATGTTTTCAGGGGGTCTTGGATGCCCAGAGGTCTTTTTTTTTGGTTATAAAAAATTAACTAATTTGCGCTTGAGTAGTTTTAATGATTTTCTGTATGACCAAGTGTTAAGTTAGCTGGTGGGTAGTGTAAGGTAGAGGCAAAGCGGTCTCTGCAGGAACTGATCCTGGCTCAAAGGGAATTGGTGCCAATTGATATAAGGCGTTGTTCTTTTTTGGTTTGTCTTTACAGGGATCAAGTTATGCAGACTTTGAGTGTTTTCTTGTGTTATTTTAGCAGAAGATAGTGGTCTTGATATTTGTTTACTGAAGCATGATTTTTATTTAATAAGAATTTGAGAGTGATTTTGACTCTCTCAGTTTGAATTTGGGTTTGATTTGGACATTGCTTTTTTATTCTATTTTATTTAGTTTGTTTGTTCTTTCAAAGTTTTTTTGAAGATTGATTTTCGATCTTATTTTGATTGTTTATTGCTATTTTGATGATTTTAGAATTTTTAGTTCTCTACCTTTGTATTCCAAGGATTTTTTATTATTATTATTTTCTGTAGAAAAATGTTAAAACTATGGCTCATCACTAACTGTGTTAAAAGCCTTTATAGATTTTTGTTCATATTTAGGGTACATCTGTTGTGCTTGTAACTCATGAACATCTTTATAATCATTTTGGTTTGTTAAGTTACATAACAAATTTGATATATTGCATACACTTTATGAGTGATGAGAATGTAAACAGATGACTATTTTGAAGATGGATGGTTATCTTTTGTTCAATTCTATTAGTCAATAACATCTTTTCTTCTCTTTTCTGACAGGTGATGCCTTGAAAAAACTTGAAGAAAGAGGAGTGGTCATTCGATTTGTTATTGGTCGGAGGTTTCTCCGCTTACTTATCCTTATTACCTATTATAGTACACACTTGATTTCCTCTTAAGCTATAATCAAGTTTTGTATTCTTTATTTCCCTTGGCACTAATCGAGTCTATGATATAAGTATCAAGGGTTCAAGCTTATGACTAAATACTTTGTCATTGACAGTGCTAATCGTGGTGATAGCTTAGATCGCAATATTGATGAGGAAAACCGGTCAACAAAGGATTTCCTGATTCTAGTAAGCAAGATAGTTGTTTTGCTGTAATTTGAATCAGTTTAATCTTTTACCTTGGATACTGTACAGGAAGTACGTAATTATCTTAAATTTGGTTTTGATTTTACACTGCAATTGGAAGAGTTCATACAGGGCTTATTTGAACTTTTAAAAGTAGCTTGTAACATTTCTTTAACTTCTTTTTCTTAGCTTATTTCAGTAAGCCTCACGTTCATGGTTAAGCTTAAGATATAAGCTCTAGTTTGATATGCTTATTAAATATGCATTTAATTATGCTATTTATCCAGATTCAATGTACAAGTGATTGCACAACGATAAGGTTTAGTGTTTTCTTAAAATACTTTTGTACCTTGGGGAGCTTAAAACATTAATGTGTGCCAAAAAGAAACTGCATTTTTGGTTCAGCAGAACACTTTTTCAATACCATGTTGTTGGTAAAATTATTGACCATTGTGCTTTGTTATTCTTTTCCTTTAAAATATCTTGATATCGATGCTCATTTGAACATAAACAAGCTAAGTGCATGTCTTGATCATTTGTTTTGATTATATCAGGAAGGTCATGAGGAAGCCCAAGAAGAGTTGCCTAAAAAAGTAAAAACCTTCTTTAGCACGGCAGTTCAGAATTGGGATGCTGACTTTTATGTGAAAGTTGATGACAGCATTGATATTGATCTGGGTAAAGATTGCGTATCTATATTCTTATTTTGGAGATTTTGTTGAAAACATATTTTTTCCTCGATGTGAAACGGAGACATTCGTAACTCTGTTCCCTGGCCTAGCAGAGGGTTTAATTGAACTTCTTGACCGTCGCCGTGGCCAGGATGGGGCATATATTGGATGCATGAAGTCAGGAGAAGTGATATCAGAAGAGTACTTTCTTTATCTGAGTTTATTGTGATAATCTATATATGATAATTGATGTGTGGATATATTGGACTGTTTTATGTGGTATAGATGGTTTAGATCATGCTAAAGCTGTTTCACATTGCCATGATTCTGAAGAGAACTTGTTTCAAACCTTATTCATTATTATCTATTGTATGTTGACTAAGTTAGAGGTAGCCATCAGATGTGGATGCCTTTTTGCATTTATGTTAATTTCTAATAACTCATTTGGCTTCAAATTTTCATCTGTCTAATTGTCTGCCTACCTACAATAATATTTATTGGTTGTTAATTTTTTATTTTTCCCATCAAAGTTACATATTATATTTTCAATAATGTGTAACAAGTAGAATGTAGTGGTTGAGTTTTTGAATTCAACTAATAGCCATCTTATCTTGAGTATTTTTCAGCGGAAAGCCATGGTATGAACCTGATTGGTGGAAATTTGGGGATGAAAAATCGTAAGTAATATATACCTTGTGCACAAGAAGATTTGACGTTTTTATTTTATTTTATTTTCTTAAATTGAAACCATGTTATTATTTCTTTTCTCATTGTATCCTTGAATGGGTAGGTGAGCGATCTTCACAATATATGACATCATAACGTCAATGCTAACAACATTAGAGGAAACAATTATTTGACTTGGGCATATTAAAAATTTATATTTGTTATTATCCTGCCAAATGTTGGAGTGTTATTATCAATTCTCGTTAATCTTTTTGACATTTACTCTAATTCAAATGGATAGAACCGAACATAGTTTAGTTTTTTTTTATATATATATATTTTATATGTTTAACATTTTTTTTTTTACCTTCTTTTTATCATTGTATCCAACAATGCTCCGTAAAACTAGTTGTCATGCAAGCAATGATAAATTATATTGTCTTTATGCTTTAGTAGATCTGTCAATGACATGATTTCTGCTATAATATTTTAGAAGTAGAATTCCTTGATCTGTTAAATGCCCCCTAACTAATATAATATCTGAATGTTTACCATTATGATAATTATGTATTACAATCTTTTTATTTCAATGGTGTGCTGTTATAACTTTTCTGTAGTTTGGATCTGCATATTGAATTGTTTTAACTTTGCTAGTATGAATCATAATTTAGTTATTTTGTCTAGGTATTTCCGACATGCAGCTGGTTCGCTTGTTATAATTTCAAAGAATTTGGCACAATACATTAATATAAACAGGTTAGTTCTCAATGTCATGTATGCACGAGGAAACTTAGAAACTGAAGTAGGAAGCTTTGGTTCTGGCATGGGTGCCTTATTTCAGCATTTAGGCTGTCAAAGCACGGCCTCTGATTCCCTTATTTGGGAACTTGATAAAGAGAAGGCTTTGGATGTTCCTTAGCTGGCATTTGGGCTAAAGCTACTTAATTTTCGTTTTATATTTTGTGTTCATTAGATTAAAGTAGACACTAGAATGTTCTATTGGCAAAGATTTACTATAAGTACTTAATTTTTTGCTTGAATCCAAATACCAAATCTAGTTTAACTATTTTTCATATTTCCTACCGTTTTAACTGGTCTATTTTCAAAACTCTGGAATAAGGCGTTCTCTCGTTAAAACCATTGAAAGTTAATTCCAGCTCCATACTTTTCCATCTATGAACACATACTTAATTTTCTTTTTATATATTTATGTGTACATAGGATTACACTAGACACTAGAAAAATTCTATAGGCAAAGATTTTATTAGAAATACTTATTTTTTTATTTCCAATTTTTCTGGCTGAATCCAAATACCAAATATAGTTAATTATTTTTCATCTTTGTTAATGTTTTAGCTGGTCTATTTTCAAAACTCTGCAATAGGTATTTTCAAACCTGGTTGATAGTTTTCACTTCATTTCCTGTTTTTTACGAATTTGCACATAAATAATTACAAATCTTGACTTTACCGTTACCAGTACAAATACTTTAAAACGAAAACAAAGTAAAAATAAAGTGATGCCTTTTTACAAAAAAGCAAAATGAACCAGTTGCACCCATCTACTCTCTTTTATTTTCTCTTAATATCTGATAAATATTTTTTTTTGTATCCCAAAAAATTGTAGTGTGTCTTTGAAGACCTATGCCTTTGATGATACATCGTTGGGATCATGGATGATGGGAATCCAAGCAACTTACATTGATGACAGTCGGCTTTGCTGCAGTAGTATCAGACAAGGTGAAATCTCATTTCTTATGATTTGCAGTGGTTGTTTTCTTACATTTAACTGGGGGAAAGGGTGGAGAAGGGGTGTGTTTCCTTTTCAGGTTTCTTAACTAAGTTTCCTTTGAATTAGTTGAAAATGAAAACATATTGGGACAAAATGAAATATAGAAAAACAGGTGCTAGCAACAGATTCTCTGACACACTTCTCATGAAATATAGATTAAAATTTATTAAAATTAACAATTCGAGAAAATTATTAAATAAGATGTGAAATCCACAAATTTTTGTGATTTTCGATAAATTTAACCGATACCAATAGGGGTGATCTGTGTTGCTAGCATTTCTCATTTACAAAAGGAAACGAATTGATGTATCTTTGATCAAACTATTATAAAAAAAAAAAATTGTTTTTCACCAACTCAAGTTTACTGTTTACAATAGAGCTTGTCTTGCTTCCTGTGTCCATTTTCAGACAAGGTATGCTCCTTGGCTTGATTGGACGATGACAAGCGCATTCCTTATGTGGGAACTCATACAATTTGTCTGAAGATCAGCATCAGTTGAAGATTATGTTCATTCTTATAGATGTTAGCGGCGATATTGAAAGGATAACTACAGATTAACAGAGTTCATCCATTGGATGCTCAATTGATATTTGCGGGAGTTCTTCTCTGTTATTGTCTATACAAAACAACGGTTGATGACCAAATATTGACGAGAAAAAAACATATATACGAATTATTGATGTATTGAATAGCTGACGAACAAATTGTAGACTTTGTTGCATTGAAATTTTGCTGCAACACATTTGTATGATGCTTTTGCGTTTCGTATTATTTTTTTTTAAAACACTTTACATCTATACGTTGTCTATATGAATTTATAAAATTTAATAAAAAGTAATTTTCATAACATCATTTTTATATCATAAATAATATTTTCTGTTTTTCTATGTAACCTTATTTTTTAAAATAATGATACATAATGAAATTAATGATTTTAACTGAAATAAATATAAATGTCTATTAATGAAAAACAACAAAAGCTTACAATAAATTTTTAAATATCATTTTTTCGTATTTACTTTAAAAAATTATTTATAAAGGATTTTTTTATTTTTATTTTAAATAAATTGTTCATTTAAAATTTGTATCCATCAAAATATTATTATACAATAATTCGAATCGATAACACGTGCTATAAATAAAAAAATAGTATGATAATAAAAGAAAAATTAATATGATAATAATTTAAATAGATATTCCAGTTACATAAATTATGTTATAACTGATATATAAGAATTATATGTAATTTATTTGAATTAAATATTTAATAATTACATTATCATCATATCTACCAATCCATAATCGATTGAAGCAAATGATCCACGATTGACGACATAAAATAATCATATTGGTTTTAAAACATAACTTAGAATATCATCTTCTTCTATATTCAATTTTATCTTTAATTTTTACATTTGAAAACAAAAAAAGGTCTTAATAAAAAACCGAAATAATAAAAATAGAAAAAAACCGCAAATGAAGATGACATTGATCGTAATTTGGAAAGTTTAGTTCCTTCTTCATCCTTAATGTTGTTATACTGATCATCCATTCTGGACTATGCACTAAGTAAAAATAAAAGAAGCAAATAAATTAAAGGTTAACTATAAAACACTGAAAAATTATAAGAAATTACTATTAAAAACATCTAATAAAAAAAAGTATAAGAAATACTAAGTACAATGGAAAATAAAAATTTGCAAATCAAATACTAAAAAACAAATCATGTTCATATAGAGTATTTTCCAAAGATGCTTTCCTCTCTCATTTCTTCTTCGATTCATTATCTATATTTATATTTATAATAAGGTTTAACTATGTGTTTTTTTTATATCTACTATTTTAAAAAAATTGTATTACGTGTTAATAATATATATATATATATATATATATATATATATATATATTAAAATAAATTAAAATGAGTTGAAAATTAAGATTTATTTAAAATACGAATTGAAAATAAAACTTGAGAAAACACTTTGTGTTTGTATTGTTAACTTGTGCAGTTTTTCTCATTTTTCAAATCCAAGGTTATATTCCTCTCCTTTTTTGGTGGGTTTTGTTTCAATAGGGTATTCTTCTCCTCTTCCAAAAAATCTCATTTTTCAAAGGGACAAATTACCACAAGATTAGAATAATTTTGTAATCCAATTTTGAATCTCCTTAAGCGAAAATCGATGAGAGGTGGTAATGGAGCTAAATTCATGACGAGAGAAATAATTGTTAGAGGAAAAAGGAATAGATATGGAAAGTAAGGAAATGGGGGTATGAAGCATGGGAAGATGAAAGAAATGTTTGATACAAAAGATAATATTAATGGAATTATGATCAACTTGTAGTTAGTTTTATCCTTAAACGTATAAATGAATAAAAAACTATAATTATTTTATTATAATAAAAAATATTATATTTCTTAATTTAAAAAAAAATCTTAAACGATACTTGAAAATAAATAGAGAAAATAGTTGAGAAACATGTGATATATAATAATATAATAATACTCTTTTTATTATCAATTGAATAATCTAACTTGACTAATTTTACTTATATTAAATTAAAAGTTATATTAAATTTAACTCGATTCAAATAACTTCCCTTCTTAGTATATGCATCACTGGAATACTTGCTACAAAGAACTATGTTACCAAAACAAACTTTTCCATAAAAGATAACGAAACAAAATTTTATCTTAAACTTTTGAGTTTCAAACCAAGCGTCTCTTTATAATTAAGATTAGCTATTAATTATTAGTACATTTCCTTAAAAGATTAATAATTAATATATAAATGAAAAATATGTTGGATCCATTGAAGAGTCAAAAGATACAACTGTAGAAGAATGTCTCTACATATTTCAGATACAAGAAATTTTCACCCTTGATTTTGAAGATTAAGAAAATGAAAATTTTGCATCAAGGGTTCTACTTTCCCCCTCCATATTCAAATAATAAAGTGGAATTAAGAGGCACTATTCTCGGTTTATTTATTTATTTATTTATTAATGGTGTTTCTCAATTACTAGACTTGCTGAAAACCATACTTTAATTTAAAATATCAGAGTTTGATTGATTTAATTTATTTTTAAATTTTTGTAAATAGTTTTAGATATAATTTAAAAAATTGTTTCGAGAATCAGTAGAAAATAAAGTATTTAATATTTTTATTTTTAAAAATATTTTAAACGAAAAAATTTAATATAAATAATTGTAAAAAACAAAAGTTAAAAAGTATTTTTATAACTTATAGAGAAAAAAAATGAATGATTTAATGTAATTATTTATGAAAACATCAATACTTATTAATGAACATTAAAATATATTTTTTTATCAATTTTGGTCTTTTAATTCTTAAAAATGAAAAAACAGAAACAATTTTTCAACCACTGTTTTAACGCAACGGTTATCAAACAAGTTTTTTAATTTTTATAGATTGAAAAACTGAAAATTATTTTTTTAGTTTTCAAAAATAATTTTACAGATCAATTTTAAAAAATTGTTCCTGAAAATAAGTTAAAATAAATTGTGTGATAATTCTAATCTGTTTTAGCAAAATAGCTATTATGAAAAAAAAATAGTTTTTAAAAAATAAAAAATTGAAAACTGTTTTTTAAATACAGGAAATAAACAAGTCTTTAGACTCTTTAGAAAAAAAATAATTTATTATTTTAACAATTCTAGAAACCATTAATAATCTTTTATAACTTTGTTATTTTAATCAACGATAATTTAATGAAATACAAATAATTTACATCGGAGAGAGTAAAATTGAATATATATTATTAAATCAGCACTTATTATCAATCAGTGTTTAACAATATTTTCACTAGATATCAACATCAACTCTCCTTAACTTTCTGACCTCTCTTGGTTAAAGATTCAAACAATTACATATTATTTTAATTTGAAGAGGAGAGTTTGTATTGTTTTATTAAAAATATATGAAAACCGATAAATTATCGAATTTTCAAATGTTATCAATATTTTACTACATTACATATTTTAAATTTTATTTATGATTTGATTTGTGATTACTTAATTTAATTAGTGACTCAACTATGCCTCCCATTTACTTTTTTTCTCCCTACACTTTGATGTAAAATTATTAAATTAATCACATCTTAATTTGATGTATACATGCCATTTTTCATACACCTAAAAAAAAAAATCTTAACTATAAAGAATAATTTTAAAGTCTCCAAATAACATCCTTTTTATAAATATTTCTACTATATTTTGTTTCAAATTTTCTTATTTAGTACTTTGAATGATAAGTATTAAATGTTTTATGTTTTCAAGACATTAACTGTATTTATCTTTTAATTTAATATTTTCTATATACTGATTAAAAAATTAATACGTTCTATACACAGATTAAAAAAAATTAATACTTTTAATATAAAACATTAAAAAAAATGTTAGAGAATTAAAGATATTACATTTATTAAATTATAAATACCTTATCCCACTTTATGTCATACACACTTTGATATTGATCAGTGAAATATTTTGACAGTGCTTGGAAAACAAACGTAGCAGCATGTCTTTTGACCTCAACAAAGAGCTTGCTCTATTGGTCTTACAGTACTTTCATGAACAAAGTTTTAAGGAAGCAGCACGCATGTATGTGTCTTTCTTTCTCATGCCACACCACAAAATAATGAAGACTAATTATTGTTAGTTTTTAAGGTTATATATGTATGATTGTTCTTTTGCCATGTTGTTCTTCATTCAATCTTTCATTCACAGGCTTGGTAGTGAAAGTGGGTTATTCTTTGACTTGAAGTATTTTGAGGACATGGTGCTTAAGGGCAAGTGGGATGAGGCTGAGAACTATCTTTTGAGATTCACAAAGGTCAAGGACAATGACTACTCAATCAAAATATACTTTGAAATGAGGAAACAGAAATACTTTGAGGCTTTGGACAAGTAAGCTTTTTAGTCTCTAAGACTAATTCACACGTAAATTTTGAAAGGACAAAACTTAGATGCTGATAGTGCTTCTGTTGCTTTCTAGAGTTTTGTTTCGATAATGTTTATTTGTTTAATAACTTTTTTTATTACATAGATTATCGAAGCTAAACTTCAGATCTAGTTGAAGAACTGCATACAAGTTTTTCCATCTCTAAGAGTTAGTTCGTCGCAAAAATTTAGTGACCTTGTAATTAGTGAGAAAAAATGAATTTTTTTCACTAAGTTGTTCAGTGTTTCTTCAGGAATAAGGATATTATTGTGTTGGTGTATATTTTTATCTGAAAGTGTTTGTTTTTTTGCAGTAACGATCGTTACAAGGCCTTGGATATCCTCTTGAAGGATCTCAAAGTCTTTGCACAAGGGAATGAGAAGTTGATCAAAGACCTTAGTCACCTTTTGATAGTTGATAATATAAGGTATATTTCAATTTCTGTGGTTATTCAGAAAGATATTGTTTGACATGCTTACCCTTTTGTTGGTCCTAAGCAGGGAAATTAAACCAACATATCGAGATGCAATTTCTGCGAGGAAGAATTTGATGTTTGAAATTAAGAAAATTATAATTCAACATCCTCTTTTATGTGGAAAGCTGAAACTTCCGGACATTGAAATTCACAGACTACGCCATCTTCTCAATCAAAGGTTTCACTCTATCATCCTAAGATGAAGTTGATATGCTAGGGAATATGCATTCATATTTTCCTTGCCTCCACATTTTCTTGGGCTAGTTGCTCTACCACATTGTGTATTCCTTTTACAACTACTCTTGATTTCTTGATGTGCATCTCAGACACACATAAAATTTATTTACTGTTCCATATTTGTTAGCTTAAAATGGCAGAAGCATCAAAAGCCTGATCAAGAACCTGACCTTTTAAGGTATCATGACAGTAATTCCAATCCTTGTGCATCTGCTCTAACAAATTCAGGTATATATATGTTTTGATGGTTTTGTCAGGGAACTTATTTGGTGCATGCTTATATATCATAGGTTGTCACAATCCCAAGTTTTGGAAATGCTTTTACTATTTTAGTTTGGACACTGCTTATTTCATCTCAGCTCCACCCTTATGATGTAGCCTTTTTTCTTTAGGAATAGCTACGGAGTGGAAACTTTCAACTAGTGGAAGACCAAGTATGGATTCTGAAAAGGTTAGTTGGATGAAACCTTTAACCAATAATATTGTTTAGTGATTGAAAAAATTTCATAAAAAAAGCCTAACCTTTCTTCTTCCAAGTTTAACATGTTTAGGCATCATTTATAATTTTTCTAAGATAACTGTATTTCTTTAGATAATGATTCTTTTACATTATTTGACAAGGATTTTTATTTTGATAGCTATATATATGCATCAGTTTTGCTGTCTTACGCGGTAGACACTTTTTATTAATAAAATACTATTTAAACTAATGTCACAAGAGATGTTGTCATCGTAGTCTCACAGGTTTTTAGAAGTACAGTTTCAAGGAAACTGCAAATATCTGCTACCTTTCATTATAATTTTACTCTGCAACCAGAACCAACATCTCATCATTCTTTTTTTTCAGGGAAACTGCAATGGAGTTTTGGGGGATGTGAAAAAGCTTGCAATTGAAGAATCCCATAACAAACCAAATAATGTATTTGAGATTGGTACATCATCTCAGTGCCAGTTCTTGCAGCTCCCTAAGCATCCTGAAGTAAAAAAGGTAAGTAATTTATATGGTTATTGAAATTATTTGCTTTCTAACAATGTTTGAACACAACACAACACATAACATGATTCATTAATCCCTTAATGTGTGTCTATCAGTAGATTAGATTCCTGTGTGTGTGTGTGTGTGTGTGCAAACTATAAGATGGTATACAAAATAACTACTAACTGGACAATTAGATTCGCTAGAACAAAGAAATGATGATTAACTAACTGTACATGAAGCAGATTGTTAAACTGGCTTACAACAATGGGGGAAATTCACTTTTGGCATTGGCATCGAATGGTATTCATCTGATTTGGCTCTGGCCACGTACTGGCTTTAACTTGGATGGCAAGGTAATTCACTTTCTTTTGATATGATTTCTCTTTTTTATATCTCTCCTGTGATTTGTTCTTATTTGGTAATAAGTTTAATTTTTTAGAAATTGATTTCAAAATAATGCAATTTTTGCTTGTAGGCTAGTGCTCAAGTTTGCCCTCAATTGCAGCAACCAAAGGATGGCTTCCAAGTTATGATCAATGACCTTTCAAGTGTCAAATGTGAAAACCCAGTTTCCTGTTTTGCATTATCAAAACAGGGTGGATACGTCATATCAACATCAGGGGGCATGATCTCCTTGTTCAATATGGTGTCATATAAGGTAATACTAAATTCTAGTTTGAAAAAATTTCTTAAAAACTAGAAACAATAAACTGAAACCAATTTTCATTAATTTAAAACTAAAAACTACCCCACATAGTGTAAATAATTCACATTCCATTGCTATGAAAAATTGTTTAGTGCTGATAATTTCAAAGTTTTAGGCAGTTGGAGTTCCTCTCATCTAGACATTCCTAAAACTAAACATTAGCTGTAAAATTTCATTTAGGTACCATGTTGCATGCTACATGTGTTTTGTCACTTACAATGATGTTATTGTTATAAGTTAATTTATGGCATTCATTGCATAGTGCAGACCCTGAGAACTATCATGTCTCCACCACCTATGGTAACATGCCTTGCCTTCTACCCTGAAGATAACAATATATTTGGTATTGGGTTTGATGACTCTAGCTTAATTATATATAATGTCCGTGATGATCAGGTATATCTCTTTCTCTCTTCTACAAAGGTGTGTTTCATTACATGTTTAAAGTATATTGAAGCTAGTTTCTGGTTTCATATCATACATTTATGTCAGGTTTTACACAAGCTTGAGGGTCACTCTAAAAGAGTTACTGCTCTAGCCTTCTCAAATACTTCCAATTTTCTAATATCTGGTGATGCAAATTCTCAGGTTAGTATTCAATTTTATTTCTATGAATCATGCCAACCACAACACAAAACAACCACTATTCAGAATCAGTTCCCTTGTTATATTGGACTATATGAACACATTTTTGCTGCTTTGAATAGTTACTAATATTGTAATATGATATGTTTGCTCATCTATTATTATTATTATTTTCCTAGGTAAAATACAACTTTTATCCTTTAAAATATCTCAATTTTTTAATTTAGTTCCTATAAAAATTTAATTCATTTTTAGTTGTGCATTTTATTAGAAACAGATCATTTTAGTTTTTGACAAATTAAAATAATGCAGATAGAAAGACACCCACCCAAATAATAAAAAATACCTATCTGATTTATAGTATATTATTTAATTTTTAATAAAGAAGAAATCTCAACAAGGAAAAATATTTTTTAATGAGTATTAGATGGAAGTTTATGTTCTAAATGGTGTGTGTTTTTTTCATATTAGAAGTGTCACTTTTAATAGATGTAGTAACTAATAATGTATGACATGTTTATAGAGATTAAAACTGAATTTCTAGAGATAAAAACATCTTTTTACTTTCTTTACATAAATTGGTTTGTAGTAATTTTGATTTCTCTGACAGATCATTCAATGGAATACAAATGGGTGGGAAAAGCAGAAAGATATAAACTTGCAAATACACGAAAACCAAATGCCTGAATCTGACACTCAAATTCAGTTTCATCCAGATCAAATAAAGTTCCTTGTTGTATATGTTGGTCATCTTGCAATATATGACATAACAGGCCTAAGATGTGTCAATGAGGTTCTCTCTTCTTCCTCTCACATATCATGAAAAGAAAAAGATTCTTTTTGTTTTTCAACTTGGTGAATTTGTTTTTCACTTCATGACAGTGGGTTCCAGAAGTTCCACAGCTTATCTCCCAAGCAACCTTCTCATCAGATGGTCACATTGTGTATTCCATTTTGGTTGATGGGACAGTCACAATATTTGATGCAACAAATTTTGAAATTTGTTGTAGGATTTCTACCTCTTCATATCTTCCTCCAATTTCAAGGTATATATAATTTAAGAGTTCAAATTTGTTACATTTTCTTAGTAAGATATTTACAAGAACTTGGAACATGTGTGCATAGTTTAGTAGGCTAGTAATGCAGAGTTTTATTCGGTTTTAATTTTTACTTTTAACAGTAGATTGAATAATAAACATAATAAATTAATTTGATCTCTCTTGTTAACAATAAATAAGAGATTATCGAAATCCAAATCTTATAAATGACATATCTTAACTTTCAATTTAAATTACATATTATTTATTTGGTGCAGTTTGAGCATCTACCCAATTTCCATAGCTGCACATCCACAGAAACCAAACCAGTTTGTTGTGGGACTCACAGATGGTAGTGTTTATGTGTTTGAACCTCAGAAGCCAGGGGGTAATTGGATCAAAAACCATTGAAACTCCAAAGGGATTCAAATGCATTCAGGAGAATAGTTATGACCAATGCATGGTTGATTGATGACAAAATGTTGACTTATTTATGTTTGTTGTATCAGTAGAAATTGTTAGGAATGTTTATTAATTGTTAATTACCTTTCAAAGTTCTCTATATAGAACTTCTATATTCACTCTCGTTTCTTTTTCATGTTACTGTTCTAAAGCTTAATGTCTAAACTTATTTAATATAAAATTATACACTCCAATGAATATTTCATTACTATTAAATTATAATATTATAATATTTTTATATATTTTAATGATATAATATAAAAAATAATATTTTTAATTATAATTTTTTATTTTAATATATAAATATTTTTTTAAAATAAAACCGATTAATCCATTCCATTTCTTCTTAATTTGTGGTTCATTATAAAATTGACTTTTATCAACTTGTCTAATGAAATATTTTCAATTTGAGAAAAATAAAATTTTTCCACATGATTTATTACATCTCTTCTGACGTCGATGAAATCGTTGGTGGGTGTTATAAAGTCCGAATCTATGTTCTAGAAATTGCCATAAAATAGGATATTAGATGAGTTAGGAGAATCACGTGCACTTCTGATGTCACTAAAACAAGATCAATCATTGTTAACCCCAATCTAATTAATAAATCTGAATTATTTGATGTTAATAAGAAAAATAGTCATTGGTCTACGTTAAAGGGTGATTTTAGCTACTATCAACTTTTTTATTTAATCAATATTTTTAATAAACAATGTTTAGAAGATAAAAATGGTCAGAAAATTAACTGGCACTTAATTTAATAAAATATTTTAAATTTAAATTCCCATCATCATTTAATGACTGAATAAAATACATTTGAACTATTTACAGACCAAAACGTGATATACTAAAACCAATTAAATTTAGTTAATATACTAAAAATAAAAATCATAAAAGATTGAAACACTAAAATACAAAAATACTCAAAACCTACGAATAAACGACTTTTTGTTAAAAGACTCCCACGAACAAGTTATTTCAACTCAAGATTGTGGAAGGAGAGGAGGAACAACTGTTTTTCCTCATGATTCAAAAAGTGCTGCTGCAGAAAAACATTAAGGGGATAATCTGAATTTTCATTTTCTACCTTTCATATTTTCTCCAAATAAATACATTACTGCACGTCCCAACTCATCGAAAGTTCTATAACCCTACTATGTTTGGATATTGTCATGTCACTAACATCCTCAAAATATGGAATATTTCTTTCTCTTTACACCCTTTATTAATTTTCTTATCACCTTTCATCAATGAAATATTAAAGGGTGCAAGAAGTTGGACCCAAGAAATGGAGTTATCTTTTCAAGCCATGATACAGAACCTATTAATAAGTGCTGTCGGGCATGTCCAATGCTTCTTAACAATATAAGTTCTATTATACCACATCAGATTAAGAACTGAGTCTTACATAATGGTGCTCCCAACTAAGAACTGACTCTTACCTCAGTTACCTAACAACTTTCATTAAACACTAGTCTACACAGTCCTAACTATGTCTCCCCCAAATAACTACTTAGCTTCCACACTCAATGAACTCATCACATGATGAGTTTTCAATTTTTCTACTATGAATACCTCTAAATTAAGGTGTAAAATACACTTGATACCACATGCAGTTTAGTTTCCCTCCCACTAACATCACATCATAAGCCAATCCCACACTACTAACACATCATTAACTCAACTAAGACTACATTAAAAACAAAGCTGATCTTGACAATGCAATTTAAGAATTTAATCGTTGCAACCAAAACATCATCAAATTAAATGTTCATAGTCACAACTTTCCAAGCATGTTGCTAGGGGTGCCAGCTAAACGTGTAAAGGAATTTGATTATTTGACAACTTACTTCCCCGGCTAAAGACAAGTGATATATATGTTAGTGAAAATGATCTATAAACATGGAACATAATATCCAATTGTTCAAAGCTTAAATTTAAATTGTCAATTTAAAGCAAATGAAATTGCTGAATGCCACATAAATGAAGACCTTCAACTAGAGCTCGAATCATCAGTTTTTGCTGCCGCAGATGCATAACTAACACTACTATCCCTGGTACTTTTGCACTGGCTAGACTGCTCATAGCGAAGAAATTTTATTTTTATCTTTGTTGAGCTGTTCTTCAGCATCTGATAAAATTGCAAAAGATTGAAAGTAAATATAAAATCAGCATTTAACAGAAAAACTCATTTCATGTCATAATCTACAACATATATAGATCAAGGGATACCATATACAGACCAGATAGACATCCTTCAATTTATTTTACCAATATTTAGTGAATTTCAATGTACTCCTATAAAAATTGCAAGAAATGTTGGTAAATATTACTGATTTGTTTTTTTTTTTTTTGAAACTTGGAGCTCAAGAAACTAGTAAAATGCCAGTCAAGTGCAACTAGTTTTTGCACACTTATCTTGCAAGTTTCATAATAGATGACTCAAACTAGTTCTCAAATACAGTACAACAGTGAAGTCACAAGTGATGCTTCACCAAATTCCAATATCAACAATAAAAACACTAATTTCGAACATTTGCCTATTGATGGACTCAAAAAAGGTTCATTTAGGCTGGTGACACAAATACAGGGAAACTTTAGAAGCTAGATATTTTATTTGGCGTCACAAATAAATCAAGCATGAAATTGAAAACCAACCAAGTCAGTAAACTATTTTTTTGCCTCAATTCTCTAAAACAAATAACAGTAATTTTGAGCAAAGCCTATAATCTTTTATCAATGAACTGTTAATAGGATTATTAAAAGAAGCTCAACATCAAAACACACAATTTGTAAAGAGCATTCAAGATTTCAAGAAACCAACAATGTACGATTGTACAAGTGATTTTTTTGCATCGTTATCACTTTTTTTCTTTCAAAAGGTAAGGAGTGGTGAAGTTCTCAAATTGATTAATCAACTCCATATTGGTCTGATAAGAAAACATGATTTTATAATAACAATAACAATGATAGAATAATATTATTGTTCTTTACTTCAAGTTATAGTGAGATTCTCAAATTAGGCAAGAGCTACATTCATAAGAATATTGTGACGAACTTACATGAAGAAAAACACTAATTGGATGTCTTCCACATATTGTATTGTCATACTCCAGCAGATATTGTTTGAATGAATCTGGATCTCCTGTTTCTATGATATCCATACCCATCTTGTCTAGGGCCTCAATAGATTTGTATATAGGCCCGTGCTTCTTGTCATAGTGCATGTAATTGAATCTGACACAAAATGTCAATCAGAAGGTTATATGAATTTAAAAAATAAAAATAAAAATCTTTTAAATGTACAATAGTTTACATCTGTTTCAAACTAATGAGATGAGAGATATCCATAACATACATAACCGTGGTCAATAAGTAGAAGTGTAAAGCATCCAAAACACTATAGTCTATTTGTTGGAAAGTCTCCTTAATTGCAATCACTTCTAACCTGCCGTAATTGGGGTCTCTTTGAAGCACCTTTGTTGTGCAGGATGTTAGGGCTGTATTTGGTACTTAAGTCCCACATCAACTAGGGATAAGGCCTAAATAGTGCTTATAACGTTAAGATAATTCTCACCTTAAAAAACAATTTTTTGAGATTGAGTTAGGACATAAGCCCAAATGGTATAAAGTCTACACGAGATTCATTGTTGGAGTTACCTTCATTGTACCAGGCTTATGTGGAGTTAGTTTCACATCCACTAGAGATAAGGCTTGGGTAGTGTTCATAGAGCTTGAGTAATTATTTGAACAATGTAAATCATATAACAAGTATTGTCAAATAAATGCAAGGAAAACATTACTGGAGTGTGAATGTTTGTTTTTTGTGTGTGCTCTCTTGTTAACACATCTCAAACAACCGTAAGGGAATATTTGATAAAAGGAAAGTTTAATTTCTTAGGAATTTGAAGTAGGGATTTTGTTTCCCCTTTTTGGTTTATTATTTAAAAAATAGCATTCCAGGAAACATTAGTTTCCCAGATATTATTACCTATGTTTCCCTCAAATTGTTCTCATGGAAGGAGGTCCCAAATTCGTTAAAAGTTTTAACATCATAAAATCATTTAATATGATAAATAATTAATGTTTATGGGAAAATTCTATTAAATTAATCTTGAAAATCTTTGATCCCCAAGAAACATAGATAAATATTCCCAAGAATATTTATGACCAATAAAATAAATTTTAATCATTCATAGGAATCAGGATTCCTGAGATCTATAATTCCTACTAATCATGATTCCCAAGCGTGGAAATTTTCCCTTTGGGAGAGGTGCAGTTGAATGTATAAAAACAAAGGTAGTTGAATGTGTAAAATCAGTACATACCGAGATCCCCAGTGACAAAAGTCTGATGAGATAGAGAAGAAGTTATTAGGATTATCTACATATTTGGCAAGGATCTGTCCATATATAGCTTCATTTTCAGCACTAACAGCACCGACTAAAATGGGCACAATTTTCACCTGGTGCCTGCATCAATATTTGAATTCAGTCCCTGCTCTATAGTTTCAGAACTGAAAGTTCCAACAAATCTTACCCTTCAAATACTTTAGCAAGATATGGCAAGTGCATTTCCATGCTATGTTCAGCTTCATCAACACGAATATCCATCAGTTCAAATTTCCCTGTAGCTTTAAGCTCCTCAATTACTGGCAAAAATAACAAAAAGTTAAAAGTAGGCAAAGAGTAAGGAAAGGATCACTATCAAAGTCAAACAAAATGATCAGTTCTCAGCAAATCAATTAAAATAATCTACCATCTTCACTACTCAGAAACAAACCAACATAGAATACCCCTTCATCAATATTGCACAAAGAAAGACTACATTAACGAAAAAAAAAAAAAAAACCTCGCTTTCAAATCCTTGCTAGAATATAAGACCAGTAACAATAACAACAACAACAACAAAAGTCTTATCGCACCAAGTGAGGTCAATTACATGGATTACTAGACGTCATTCGACTCAGCTAAACACCAAATAAACTACACAATAACAATAGTTTAAACTACAAACAACATCATTTGATGCTGAAGCAACATCCCAATTGCACCGACTACAACAACCAGAGTACCCGCTGGGTCATGATTACAAACCATGCTGACCACAATTACCCTCACATAAGCCCGCAATACCCGCATGGTAACCACAATTTAATATCCTTAAAGACTTCATACAGTTAAACCGGTACCTTCGAAATCAATAGGCAGGTCACCTATGGGTGTCTTGTAGACAGTTGCAGTTGAAAGTGCACACTTTGGAGTGTAATAGTGATGAGAAGGACCAAGAAGGAACACGCGCGTACTGACATGCCATAAAATACAAATAGAAAATAACAACAATCCATAAGTTAGCGGGAACAACAGCAGCACAAGGAAGCTAAATTTGTTTCCACAAACTAGAAAGAGGACACATACAAATATGAGAACAGTAAGAAAAAAAACAAGAAACAAACCCACATGCTTGATGGATCAATGTTTCCAAAGGCATAAGCAGCAGCTCTTCCTGAATACGAATAACCAGCATGTCTAACATCATAACATTCCAGTTGCATCACAGGCACACATTAAAGTTGTTACTTTATCTCAAAAACTAAAATCATCAAAACTCAAACCAAAATCAATAAAAATAAAAAAGGAAATTCCACTTACGGTGCTATCACTCCCCGCACCTCAGGAGACTTGGCCAAACCACACGATTGTAACCACCCTTCAAGTTCCTCTGAAAGCTGCTTAGCTGAAAAAATAAAAAATAAAAAATAAAATAATAACAATTAAAATTTTAAAATTTAAAACATATGCAGAAAGGGTGTAACTGATAAGTGGTGAGTGAACCAAAAGAATAGAAAGTTGAACACTTTAACTGATCATGAAGTAGTTTAAACGCAATCAACCCCGTGTAATTTATTAACAAACTTCGACCCAATTACGTGAATCGAGAGAATAACGATTGAAAGATTAAAAATCGATCTTTTGAACCCGATCACAGATGGTGAAGTCGAAATTGGTGAATCGTGAATGATAATTTGAGGGACTTACGATTGTCGGTGTACCAAGAGCCAGCATGGGAGGGTCTCCTGACCTTGGTGCCCATTGAGGATTTGAGCTAAAAAAAACCTAGAACTGAATGGAAGGGGCTGAAGGATTGAATGAGAGTGAGTGTGACACGCTGCAAGATTCGTTTCTTTTCAAATAGTTTAACTTTGTAGTGCAAACTGACTGATTACAATGTTGAAGCTGTTTTATTCTTCTTTCTCTTTCAAAATACTATTGCAAGTGTAGAATTTTTATTTTTATTTTTTTTTCAAATTATGTACACCTTCTTATAATTTAGTACCATGTTTTATATTTGAGATTAAAGGAAATTTGGTAGTATTAAAACAAATGGTAGTTAGGATAAAGAGATATAGAATAACATTATCTTCAAAAAGATAATGAGGGAATTGAGATAAGGAGAACTAAAAGATAGATAATAACTGTTTTTATTTATTTATTATTATTATATATACCATGTAAATTTTTTTTATATTATTAGTATCTTTTGTTTTTATTGTCATCATTATTGTTTTTAAAATATTATTATTTTATTCATTTTTTATTTTCACATTATAATTATTTTTGTCGTATCTTACTTCTTTTAAAATTTAATCTTTTTTATTCATATATTTATTTATTTTATTTATTATTATTATTATTTAATAAACAAAATATGTCAATTAATATTTTTTATTTATATATATATTATTTATTTATTATTATTATTATTTAATAAACAAAATATGTCATCAAAATATATGGTATTGATATCATTTGATACGTCATTATTTAAAAAATCAAAATATTATAATGATCATTTATAGGTTTAAACATTATTAATTATAAAAATATTATAAATTATTTCCATGAGAATTTATTTTACATGATATCATCAAATATTTGAATATATATTTTGGGTGAAAGAAATTTTTTATCCTATCAAACATATTTTTTTAGTGGAAAAGTTATTTTTTACTTTATGTTATTTGAAAAAAAAAGTGAAATTAATTAACATTTCTTATTATTTTAATTATATACGAGGATGTTGTTCATATATTGTTCATATATAATAAAGGGTGAGTTATTTAAATAATAATATATATGTATTAAATATATATGTGTTTTGAGTTTTTTATATATATGGAAGTAGAAATATATATTTAGGTTAAATGAATATTGTTGAATATAGAGAAAATACGGTTTGAGATTAATCTCTTCTGTACATAAATCATGTATAGGTTAATCTATTTATAATAGGAAGAGGTAAAACTAAAAGAGTAACCGAAAGTAAACAAAATAAACAGAAGATATTAACAATATCTAACAATATCTAAACAATATCTAACACTTTCCCTTAAGCTGGAGCATACAAATCATATGTGTCAAGCTTGTTACAAATATAATCAATTCTAGGCCCCCGTAAATACTTAGTAAAAATATCTGCTAACTGATCACTTGATTTAACAAACTCAATCTTGATGTCTCCAGACATAATCTTTTATCGAATGAAATGAAACTCAATCTCAATGTGTTTGATCCTCTCATGAAGAACTAATATGGAGATCAGCCTGATTGTCACACACAAGTGTCATTTGAGTGACATCTCCAAATTGTAACTCTCTAAGCAATTGCTTGAGCCAAACAAGTTCACAAGAAGCTGAGACCATAGCTCTATATTCTTCTTTTACACTGGATATTGTCATAACACTCTGTTTCTTACTTTTTCACGAAATCAAGTTACCACCAATAGAGACACAATATCCAGATGTAGATCTTCTATTCGAAGGAGATCCTGCCCAATCAGCATTTGAGTAACAAACAACTCTTGTATGGTTATTAGAATCATATAATAATCCTTTTCCAGGAGATCATTTAATATACTTCAAGATACGAATGACTGCATTCTAATGATCTTCACATGGGGAATTAAGAAATTGGCTTACCACACTAACTGCAAAGGAAATGTCAGGACATGTAACTATAAGATAATTCAATTTTTCAACCAATTTTCTATACTGCTCAAGATCAAATATAGGCTCCCCCTGATTTGGTAGAAGTTTAGTATTAGGATCCATGGGTGTATCAATAGACTTTGAACTCATCAACCCAGTTTCTTCCAAAATATCCATGACATACTTCTTCTGAGATATAACAATATTATCATTGGACTGTGTCACCTCAATACCCAAGAAATATCTAAGTTTGCCAAGATCTTTTGTCTGAAAATGGTGACATAGATGTTGTTTCAACTGAGAGATGTCATGGTTGTCACTACCTATAAGAACGATATCATCAACATATACTATCAAGTAAACACATCCAACACTCGAGTGTCGATAAAAGACAGAATGATCTGCTTCACATCGAGTCATACCAAATTGTTGAAAACAATCTTGCTAAACTTTCCAAACCAGGCCCTAGGAAACTGTTTTAAGCCATATAGGGATTTGTGAAGACGACATACCATCCCAAAAGACTCCCCCTGAGCAACAAACCCAGGAGGTTGCTCCATATAGATTTCTTCTTGCAATTCACCATTGAGGAAAGTATTTTTAACATCTAGTTGATAAAGAGGTCATTGTTGAAGAGCGGCCATGACGATAAATAAACGAATAGAAGTCATTTTCGCCACGGGGGAAAAGGTATCTCCATAATCCAACCCAAAAAATTGAGTATAACCTTTAGCCATAAGACGAGCTTTGAGACGATCAATAGTACCATCAGGTCCAACTTTGATAACAAACACTCACCTACAACCAACAACAGATCTTTCAGACGGTAACGGGACCAATTCCCAAGTTCCACTATTATGAAGAGCACTTAGTTCATCTAACATGGCCTGACACCAACCAGATTGGGCTAAAGCTTCACATACAATTTTTGGAATGGTCACAGAAGAAATAGAGGAAAGACATGTATAAAAAGGTAATGACAGTCGATGATAACTCAAAGCAATATAATGGGGAGAGGAATTACGTGTAGAATAGATACCTTTTCGGAGGGCAATGAGAATGTCAGACTCAGGTGTCAGATTCGGAGGAGATAGAGTAGTTGACACTTGAGTGGAGTCACATGGTGGTGGTTGTGATTGATTTCAACAACTATAAACCTGAAGAGGCGGTGGAGAAGAAGCTAACTGCGGAACATGAACTAATGGTGAAGAAGATACAATTAGAGGGTCACACACAACAGGAACATTAAATGTACTAGGAGTGTTGACAAGATTGGATGGAGATAGAAGTGAAGATTGACTTTTAAAATAAAGAGAGAAATCATCAAAGGTGACATCTGCAGACACAAAATAACGGTTAAGATAAGGAGAAAAACATTTGTATCCTTTTTGTGATCTTATAAACTCTAAGAAAACACATTTATGTGATATAGGAGAAAGTTTATCAAGACCAGGACTTAAATTATGAACAAAACATGTAGACCCGAAAACTCTTAGAGGTAAGGAATGAAGAGGTTCATGAGGGAATAAAATGGAATGAGGTATTTTATTATCTAAAACCAAAGAAGGCATATGATGATAACATGCAGTAAGAAGAGCATCGCCCCAAAAATATTGAGGAACATCTCCATGAATTAAAAGAGTGCGAGTTGTTTCAATAAGATGTCTATTTTTGCGTTTAGCTACACCATTTTATTGAGGTGTATAAGTACAAGAAGTTTGATGGAGGATACCGTGAGAAGCCATGAATTGTTTAAAAGAATGAGAAAGATATTCACGACCATTATCACTGTGCAAAACTCTAATAGAAACACCGAACTGAGTTTGAATTTCATTGAAAAAAGTTTGGAAGATATGAAATAATTCAGAACGATTTTTCATCAAAAATAACCAAGTGCATCTGGAATAATCATCAATGAAAGTAACAAAGTATTGAAAACCTAAAGTAGACTTAATGCGGCTAGGTCCCCAAATGTCAGAGTGAACCACGGTAAAAGGGGACGAAGCACCGCGTGTGACACTACGAGAAAAGAAAGTACGACTATGCTTGCCTAATTGACACGACTCACACGCCAAACTAGACAAGTTAGACAAGGTAGTGACAAGTTTCTGTAATTTGGCAAGACTTGGATGACCTAACTGAGCATGAAGAAGAGAGGGAGACTCCATAACTGCACCAACATGTGTAAAGGGATGGAGATGATAAAGACTATGAGAATCATATCCTGTGTCAATCACCTGTTTCGAACTCCGGTCCTATAAACACACAAAATTATTGGTAAAAGAAATAACACAATCAAGAAAACGAGTTAGACGACTGATGGGAAACAAGTTAAAAGGAAACTCAGGAACATAAAGAACATTACAATGGTTAAAGAAGTTTAACATTACAATGGTTAAAAGGATTAGAAGAGGATAAAGAGGAGAACAAAGACTTGTTACCAGTAATATGATCAGTGGCTCCTGAATCAAAAACCCAAGGACCAGGAGAAGAGGATTGGGTCAAACCAACAAAATATGTATCTATGTGTGTGAAAAATATAGTGGAACTAGAAGATTGTTGATCCTTATACCATTTGAGAAATTTGTTGAACATAGCAGGTGTGTCGGATGCAACAAAAGAAGGAGGATCCCCAGTAGACAAAGGTGGGGAAAGATTGGTCTGAACAACTGCAGCAGATCGAGGAGGACGACCATGTAATGCATAACACTTGTTAATCTTATGACCTAGCTTGCCACAATGTTCACACTTAGGACGCCTTTTTCCCTATTTATGAGGGTGAGTCTAGTCATCACGGTGAGATGTCAACATAGAAGAATCATTAACAGAATTGGAAGTAGTATAAGGAGTGGAAGAAGTCATGAAGGGCAGGAGAACAAACCCTAAAAAAAATCCAAAGTAATCCAATCAACCCACGAAGCACAAATCCAAAACGAGAAGACCAAAACAAGTCCGTCGAGACTAAACGACATAGGAGACAACAGACGACCAACTTTGATAGTAGTGATCTCAACGACACAATGATCGCCTTATAGAAAAAAACAAAACTGTATGTCACCGGTAAAAAATGAAACTCCGACGATGGCTCCAGTGGCGACAATAGTGA